AAAAAAGGCATATTAAACCAAGAAAATTATGAAATGCATTTTATGCATTATGGGTATCTGGAAGTGTTTTCACATCCTCCCAGCGACCATCAAACATGCTCCATTTTCCATCTATGGTTGCCTTTGAAGTGAATAGCATGGTTTTTTTCTTTAGATGTTAATGGCAATGGTGGCGCCAGATGTTTGCCAACAAGGGGTCCGACGTGTCTGATGCAGGGGTCCGAACCAAAGTGACGACAAAGCCTTGGTCGATAGCCCGAAACAAAAAAATCTGTTAGGGTTCTTGAAGGGAGTTTTTATGGCTTAATTTAACCCTAAATATGTTTTAGACCACAATATTAGGGATTGGCAATCAAGATAGCGTTATTTGGATTGGAAAATTATTATTTAAAAAATTTTTTGGTCCGACGACCTATTTGTTCGTCGAAAGACAGGGGGTCCCGGCCTTCCGACAAAGAAAATTCCCGCTGGCGCCTCCGCTGGTTAATGGCATAGAGAATAGTAACTATACAGTATTTAAATGTTGAAATCAAGATCTATACTGAATGATTAACTACAACTTTATGTATTTGAAAGATTTTACCCACTCAGCTTCCAACTACTTAGTCACATGGTTTAATATACCCAATTTGGTGGTTGTTGAGAACTCGATTATGAAGCAAATCATTGTTATTTTCAAATAAACCACTATATGTCCTTAGAACCTTTCCCAGGCCCATGTCTTTTGTCATTTTAATTTTGTTTATTGAATATAACCAACTTTACAGTAAAAAGTTTGCTTAAAGATTATTGTAATATCATTGGTCACAGACCGACAAGTCGGTCTGTGACTAATTTGGTCACAGACCGACTAAAATTAATGTAATAAAAATATGAATAAAAAAGTCCAAAAATTTAAATAATCTTGTCAGTGAATGTTAGCCTAATAGCTTCAATAGTTTTATGAATTTCACAATGGTTGAAAGCTGCATGACTTAATAAACCTAAAAAATGTTGTTTTTTTGGGTCACAGACCGACAAAAATATTAAGAAATATTTTTGCCCCGCCTTAATATTTTGTTGTAAATTAATATTACTTTTTGTCACAAAAACTAATAAAATAAGTTAAGTTCTCCAATTTAAAATAAAAATGACTGGCATAAATGGCAGTTTGTTAGTTTCTAGAGACTTTGAAAAAACATGACATTTTCATATTTTTTAAATATTTTCTAAATTATGTAATTCAAATTCCTATATATTTTTATACATCCACACAAGAAAAGTTTCATCACTGAATCCTAAAAATTCATTTTTTAAGCTTTAGTTTGATATAAAACTTGTTTACATTCCTCAAAGTTGAAAATTTGCTAAATCTGAAAAAAAGTCATGGAATTGCCCATAGCCATTATTTTGTAGGTATGCGAACAAATTGTGAAAAAAAGTGAATAAAAATTTAAACAAATATTTCATTTTTTCACATTTAATGCAAATAAACTTTCTTTTTCCTTATGCTCCATTTCTTTGCAGCCTACATTTTAAATATTTTAATTATTCAGAAATGTATTCCAAATGCTATAATCAGAGTACTATAATTCACTTACTACAGTAGTAGTACATATCAAGACTAGCTTACATACAGTAAGTGCCATAAAGATGGCAAGAATTATGGTACGCCAAAAAAAAAAAAATGTTATGTAAGTGTAACTGGCCCCAAAAAATAGGGTAGGTTAGTAGGGATTTTTTTTTTGCCACAATAATCAGCAAAGGTTTTGAAGCCAAAGGGTGCACCAGTAGAGGACGTGACCCCCGTTAGGAAGAGCTGAGCCCCCTCACGTCAGGGAGAAAAACTACAATTCGTTGGGAAGAAAAAAAGATTTATTTTCTACAAATTATACTGTATAAAATCAATAAGTAAATAATCTATTAAAGTCGCTAAATTGTCATATTTTCTTTGGAAACATTTTGAGTAACACCCAACCACGCCCACTTTGCTCTCGTCGGGGACGTAGCGCCCAGTCATCCTTTCTGCCCCGGCATGTTTATGCCAAATGTGGTGCTCTGATATTTGAAAGAGATCTAGAAACAGTAGAGTGTGAATAAACAACCTCACTTATATCTCGTAGTAGAAATTTAGAGAATGTTTATTAACTGTTGCCTTGAATAACATTATTTCTGCATTTTTTTTTTTCAGAATAAGCTTATAATGATGTTTGGTAAGCAACTAGCTATAAAAAGCGGTACCGATTTCCAGGGAACTAGTGTAGAGTCAGATTATCCGAGCATTGCAGACTGGATGTGTGTTGTAAATATACGACAAGATGTTTTACAGGTAATTTACCTTTATTGTATTATAAACTCTTAAATCCTTACAAATCCCATGATTTTTCTCGCCTTCTGGATTTAAGTATTTTACAGTATATAGTCTACTTCATGAATACTTTCCTACTAATGAGTATAATGAGTATAATTTCCAAACTATAATAATTATTTTCAAATTTGTTTTATTTGAGGTCAAAGCTCAGTTAGTTTAATGGTTTAACTGAGCTAAGCTGATCTCAAATTAATAATTTGAGATCAGCTTAGCTTTGTTGGTTTAGCTCGTGGTATCCACTGTGTGTGAGCTGAACCAGAGAGATCCTTTAATTAATAATAATTAATATATTTCATTTTAAACACGGAGATACTTGAATCACCCATCAGGGCTGTGCAAGTTCATACATAATAGAGTACCATAGTCGTGTCATCACGACACCAGGTGGCGCTCTCTGTTGTCAACAGACGTTGGTTACCGTTCATTACGCCTGAATGACTTCATAGGCTTTATGGAATAGGAAATTAAAATCTAATATTTTACCATCACAGTGTGCTAAAAACACAAAAGCTCGCATTATATTAGTTATCAAACACAAATTTAATCATCAATTAAAATTTACAAAGAAAAAGTAAGATACAACATCTAAATAATTACATTAGAAATTTGGATCAATGGTTTGTCAGTGAAGAAAATGGTGTCTGGTTGAACGCTTTTTGCAATGAAAGCAACAGAGTAGTATCACATGGTATCGTGATGTAACACTGTAGTACTCTATAAGAAGAAACAAAATTATTGACAACTAAAAATGAATTAAGGAAAACAAAAACACATCATATTAACTACCAGCGAAACTCTCCTGCCGGACACCAACCTGATATTTCTAAGTTTCTGGGATAACAATAAATGAAATCAGAAGTTATTAAGAAGACTTTGTTTGAAAATATGTAAACTGGAAGAGCATTTATGTTCATCATAAAGGTCATTCCATAGCTTAACCATGAGTGACAGGCTATTTTTCTATTACTCAATGTTCACATTAGGAATAATGAAGTTGATACCATTGGCAGGTTGGGGGTCCAACTGTCCTGGTTCACCATCCTTTGAATGTTCAAAGGTTTCCAATGAAAGTAGGTGAACCAGGACTAAAGAATCTAAAAGTTTATGAGTCCTGAATCCTATGTGCAGTGCGATATGGCTCATATATGTTAAAAAATGCAATATGATCTTTATAAAATAAAATGTCTACCACCAGTGTACTGCTTAGTTCACCACCAGATCCCCACTGACATTACTGTAGTAAGTCTTCAAACTTTTGTGGACAAAATGTGTTAGGTTTGAACCTGGTACATTGTGACTGAATGGCTGCCATCCTAACCACAAAACCACTTCAGAAGCTATAGTAGCATTGCCCCAATATTTTGAATTCCTGATACCTAAAACAGTAACTTCACTGTTAATGTGTCATGAGTTTATAATGCAAGTGGTGTTATTTAACATTGAACAATGTCAGACCTCTGCATTCCAATACTTAACACCCTGGTATGTTTAGGTAAGTCAGGTAAGGTCATACCAGTAGTAGTATTATAAAACTACCAAGGGGAATAAACTATTTAAATATTCTATTGAATTTGTGAAACAGGAAGAAAATAATATTTGTATTAAAATTAGATTTAGATTTATAAGTTAACCTTTTTGATCAATTTAAAAAAAACAGACCATTCAACTATTATCTTGTTGCTACCAACTGCCTGGGAAAGTGGGTGATGTAGTGTCTCACAATGATTTATTATATAGTTATGACTTGCATACCAATACATGGTGATTAAAGTTCAATAGTAAATTTAATAAGTTATTTATCGATGCTTGGTGACATCTGTCAGTCATGTGTTCAGAATGAGTAGCCCTCTATCCCTTTTGTACAGTATTATCCTCTGCCAAGAGTCGACTATCTTGTTTATCTTTCTATTGGTCTGTTAGCAAGATTATGCAAAAAGTAATCAATAGATCATCATAAAATTTAGTGGAATGGTATAATAGTACATAATAATCAAAGAAAGACACCTTCAAATTTCTTCAGAAAATGACAAAGGAAAAGGTCAAGGTCACAGAAATTCAATTTTTTACCCTCCAGCATAAAAGAAAATAACGGAATCGCCCCTCGTATTTAGGCAGTACTCAAGAAAATAATGTACTTGAATACGACGGGCGATTCCATCATTCTCTAGAGGGTATGCTGCAGTTTCGCCGATTATACACAGCCTGCTTATTGTTGGCATTTAGGCACAGAGCAGAGGTATGCACTCTATAGAGTGACTTCACTAGTTTATAACATTACAGATGCTTTGAACTGCCACCTACTGTAGTAAATTTTAATTATTATGTTTAAGAAGTTAAATTAAAATACATATTTTTATTAAAATTCTTGAAATCTGGTATTCCTTTGCCTCCATGATTTTTAGATTGTGGTGTCACTCCACCCCTCTACCTTTCTACATTATCCATATTTGTAAATTAGATATTAATTGTTATTTATCAAACCGTTTATGAAAATTTTACAGTATTTAATACAGTAAAGCTGTCGTTGGCTATTCCTCTGATAGTACATGCCAGTTTTTTTATGATGGAATGGCACAACCGGGTTCCTTTGTTATAGAATTTGTCGACAGAACCTGCCAATATTTTACAATTAATGGATAGGTGGAGTTTGTATGGGCTATTGTATAACCACTGGCAAATTCCAATACCAATGCCCTATGAGTCAGCTACGTTGATGTATTAAAGATGAGTAGGCGGAAACGATCCGGCTTAAATACAGTCTAAACATACAAACAATACATAGCACTCTGTTAAGTCAAAAATAAAGTCGGTAAACATAAATACATTAGACAAAAAAAGGTTTGTGTTGCCAAAACCTAAATGACACAAATAGTCTTTTTTTATGTGCCGAAAGAATAGCAGCTTTATATTTTAAAACCAGAGAACAGCTACAGTTTATCATATATAAAAGTTCAAACAATAATGAAATGCCAGACAAAAGTATAAAAAGGAGTTGATGTAATTGGGAATTATGGAAACACAAAAAATAGACACAAATCTTTCATGTATATTAGAGTATCAACTTTACATTTTAAAACCAGAGAACAACTTTAGTTTTATCATCTGTAAAAGTTCAAACTATAATAAAATGCGAGACAAAATTAGGTAAAAAATGGAATTTATGTAATTGGGAATTATGGAAACAAAAAATAAAATTACAGTAATTGGTTCCACAAAAGGACTGAGAACCAAAATATCTTTTTTTTTTCCAGGAAGGTATAGTGTATAAAAGGCTCTTTGTAGTAGAGATCGATAAAGTCCCACATTTTATTTGCTCAGAAACTTTGAAAATGAAACAAAGCTCAATTTTTGTTTGTATAGACTTGAGAATTTCATGTACATATTGACGTACACCCTCATATTTGCTTTGAATTCAAGTACTTTTATCTCACATCTTCGTGAATTTATCTTAGATTCTATCTGCAACAAGAGAGGTATTTAATATTACAGAATGGGAAAGGTATTTATTACGTATTGATCTTGCATATCAGGATTTCATATATGATAAGGATTCAAGTGCATTATCCTGCTGACTAGAGTTTAGAGGGGTTTCAACTGTTATTCCTGCCTATGCCAATCCAGTTACAAGTAAATTTTTTTGTATAAACTTTGATGGATGATGAAGTGCCTGCCGAATGCTAATTTACTGCCTAAGATCAGCACTTTTCACTTTTACAATACAAAACTTTTGCATGGTCTATGAATTTGTAGTTGCACCAGAAACCTCCATCCACTCTATGACATTGTATGTGACAAATACTTTGATTTACTCTGTAAAGTTCTGTCCATTCTATCAAATTTTATATGACAAATTTGTGTGATGTGGCCATATATAGACGTAATGATGTCATATCATACCCAAATATGGGCATGTCATAGGTTTTTTGTCACATAAATTATGACAGTGTGGACAAAGCTATGGGTATGATGATGTGACATTACAGAAGTATGCCCATGACACATATTTGTCACATAAAACTCAAAGTTTGGGCAGAGCCTTAAACATGAACATATATACTGTAGATGGGAGATACAGTAACTTGTTTTATGTATAATTCTATATTTATTCAAATCATGATCCGTTGTTGTTAAGGCAAGACTTTGCTTTGACAACAATACAACACCCGAATAATTTATTATTGGTCTGTTATAGTGCATCTATTGCCTGGCATAAGAAAATATGAAATTTAATAATAAATTAACAAAAACAAATTAAAATTGTCAGCAAGCTAGGCTCAAGATTCTTTTGGGATAAATTAATTAATAATAATTATTTTCAAAAATTAACAAAAAATATTTAATTTCATTAAAATTTTCTGACAACCTGTTCATCGTCAGCTTTAAAGAGGAAGGCCATGTTTGATATACAGTACTTGGATCAACTAGAAAACTAATTTACCACAAGATGTTGCTGATGGACCAAAATTGATGGAAGGAAGTTGTAAAAAATTCTTCATTTTAAAATTTACGTATTATTGTATGTTATTGAAAATACATTGCTTTTTACTTATCTGTAATGGTGCACCTGACATATACTGTAATACAAATTTAATAAAGCAGATTAATATTGTAAAGTTACAAGTAATATTTTATCCAAGTTTATACAGTAATGTACCTATAGTAGCATTAAAAAGTTGTTTATAAATATGGTAATTTGCATTGTGTTTTTGTGTTAAAAGGTAAAAAGTTCATTGTTGTATTTGCTAGGATTTGTGTGTACCTCCATGTCTGTACTTTGCTGTTATGTTTTTGGTCTAGACCTATATAGTAGAGCAGACCAATAATGACCATCCAATATTAATTGATGTATCATCAACACAATTTATACAGCTGTTGTGATATTGATTACAAACGATGTAAACGCTTGATAATGTATGCGTGAAGCAGATGGGATTTTGTACATGAAGAGGTGTGATATC